CGACGAGTAAGAGGAGAGCCAATCGCCCCAGTATCGCGGGGCGAGCCAGCTGGTGAGAAGAATGGTGAAAAATAGGTCTCCTAGAAAATGTATGGGGAGGGGGTCGTCGCCAGAGCATCGTTGGGCGAGAAAAGCATGGACCCAATCGTGAAGTTTATCGGACGAGCCTCGAGCGAGAGGGAGGCGAGCAGAGCGCCCTCAGGGGTCGTCAGGCGAGCATTAAGCGAGTAGTCTGGCGGCAAAACTTCAAGGTGTCGCAACTTGAGTTTTCGAAATTTGTTTGACGCGTTATTTTAAGTGTTGGAGCTAACGCACATAACTATCTTATGGCAGAATTGTATAAATCATTTTGTGAATTATTCATGTGTTTATATAATTATGATTTGGATTATTATATGTTGGTATACTATGATGTCTTGTTGAAATAACGTAACTGAATGTATTCTAGTGATGTTACCTTGGGTGCTGGTATTTAATGATATTTGTGATGATATGCTAATGATGTGCATATTTAATGTGTATACGTCTTATGTGAATGATGTTGCAATTGACTAGTTGTGGTCAAAGTTTTATGTGACGTTGTTGCACATCGTACATTCATAGCATTTTTGGACGGTGGTCCGCTTGTGACGAGCCTCAATTCCATTGTGTGGATTGAGTGTGTTTGTGATGTACTCCGGTTCCAAGAGGGAATTGATCCTATGGTGGGGATCATGGAGGGTGATGAACCATGTGTTCATAAATTTTGGTATCACATGAATTTAGTCAGTAGTGTTGCATTAACATCTTATGTGGCATTACATGAACTTTGTTGATGAATTGTGATGTGATGATAATTGTGAACTTTGTGATTATATGATGATTTGATGATGAAAGATGTCTAAGTTCCAGTATGACGTATCAGTGAGTATGAAGTGTTTATGAATGACGTGCGTTGATTATATGATTATGTTATGATTACTCACCCTTTCTGTTTGAATGTTGTCTCCATATGGGTAACACGCAGATGCTCAGGAGTAGCTTGTAGGAGCATTAAAGATAGCTTGGAGTATTTTATTATTTCCTTTATTTTAGTGGTGTCTTGCTCTGATATATAACATCGGGTTGGGAACGCTTATTTTGTGAATTTCATGTTTCTTTAGTTAACGCATTATGTGAGTATTTTTGGAGATGTTGAACTAGTTTTAATTCCAACTTTTGATGAGACTAAAATACTATGAGTTTTGATTTGTGAAAACTTTATTTATGACGATGAATCCGCTGTGATGATTTAAATGATGCGTTGAACTATGATCAAATGTTATTTCTATTTTATGGAACTCTTATTATAGAGCAGGACGACATTTTGAGAATGTGTTTTCTATGAAGTGCGGAACCCTTGTGTGGTGATTTTATTTGGTTTAATTCATAACTTATATGATAAATTTGTGTGGGATTATAAGGTTGGTGTTACAGGTTTTACCTTATTAAGGGCATCTTTGATTTTAACCGATTACGAAGGAGGTTTCAAATATGTGGTTTCTAGATATGAAATCTTCCTCAATTGCTCTTTGATGTGCAATTTTATGGTGTCATCATCCTTTGCAAATTTATCTTGGATTATTTTCCACTCGGTCTGGATGTGTATACCTGCTTTACCATCCTTAATCATACCATTATCATCAAACTAGGATCTTTTCCAATGACTGTATACATCATCCATACGTATCGGAGAATTAATCTTTAATTTTTTTGCAATGAGACAAGAACATGGAAGACCATAAGTCTTCCTTAATGTGCATCCACACTTTGTCTTATCTATACCTGTTTATTCTACTTGCTTAGCTTCATAAAAGATTAAATTCAATGCAAACTGATATACACAAAAAATCAATTGAGAATAGAGAATGTTGTCTTTGAACCTATGTTCTTGTACCATTATGCTTCGACCAAAAGTGGTTTGTATTTCTGAATGTTGGTTTTGGAGCATTTGATTCACACCGTCCCTACCTCTATAGAAATCACTCTTACTATCAACCAACCATTTCTTCAATGTCGAATGTACTGATTCGGCTTTGTTAGTTATTGTATTGTTGAGGTGTCTAACCTGGTCGATTCATGCACAGACAAAGTATGGATATCGACAAAGTATGGTTGGTGCCTACCACGGGTTTTAGTTGACTCCTCACATTTTTTATAATGTGATATCGACAAAGTAACCCGTAGGATGTATGAAACACCTTTACAACCTAATTGATTAGTGCGGTGTCTCGATCGGTGACAATTACCTTCAACATGTTTTCTTGGTCCTTCAACAAAGTCTTGCACACTTCCAAGGCCCAAGCAACGTTGACCTCTTTTTCAGATTCCAAATATGTAAATTCCACTAAAAACATCTTCTCCATAGAAGTAACACCAACAATTTCAAGAAATGGAAACCTATAATTATTGTTCTTGTACATTGCATCAATAATGAGGAGAGTAGAAAATGTGTTGAACAACTTGATACTTTTAGGATGAGTCTAGAAAATGTTCTGAATAGTTACTTTATCATCACATACTGCAAGTATGTTTTTCGGAGCCACTCTGATTAAAGACATGTTCGACACAATTTCCTTCTCCTCCGGTTTAAGACGACACACGATGGAATGACTGGCTAGCTTTGTTTTCAAGTAATGGTTATGTATTCCAGACAATACATTAAATTTCCACATCTCATCCACGCTACAATTTCTACGTAGTTTAAACGAACAACCACACTTTCTCATTCTGGTGTCATCACGTTTCAACTTCCAAATCGGGGAAACATAAGTGAACTTCTCTCACATCTCATGGTTACAAATGCTTGTCTTCTATTTAAACCATTATCAGACCTTCAAAAACAATATCAAACCCCAAATTCTTAGCTACCATGCGGATCCATTGAAGCATATGTTTGCAAGCACTTTGTCGTTGTTCATTTATGAAACGTTGACCAACGTCTATCTCTATCTACTTAACATCATCCTTCACTTTTTCTGATTTAACATCAATGCTTAACTTCAACTAGTTTAACAGTATCATTCGCTTCATCTTGTTTTACATCGTGACGTACAACCGCTTTGAGAAACATATTCGAGTGAATCATATCTAATAAGAAATAAAACGGAAAAATGCTTTAAAACCAATAACAGAAGAATTCGGATATACATATCTAAAATAATGTATGGGAGTTTGAATATTACATATTCGGACAAGGCGAACGTTTTTTCAACACAAACTCAAAATTAATGCAAGCAATTATGGATGAAATGAAAAAAAAATTACCTTAAATTGTAGCTTATTATACTACCTTTGATGTGATAAAATGCAAGAAATCTGATTTGAAAACAAAAAATTGATTGATCATGAGATTTTTTTAAAGGTTTTTTTATTATGGAGGAGTTTGAAGAAAGAGGAAGATAATCATGCAATTCAAGTTTTCGGTTGACATTTACAGATATACATCTCCAAAAATATCACTAAATGGTTGAAAAAATTCTCTAAATGAAAAGGTGACTTCGGAGATGTATCTCTGAATTTACTCTTTGATGGATTCGGAGATACATCTCTGAACGCGCCAAATACCATTTTTTGAGAAAATTTAATTCGGAGTAGGCATGACAACAAAACTCATATTTGCAAGTACTCACCCAAACTTGTCCCGAAGTTGACAGAAAAAACCTGCTTTGACTAAGTTTAGGTTTTCCCCAATTACAAAATATTTGGATTGGATAATAGAGACACTGGTACTCATTCCGAATCCCCCTTATTTATTTCATTATATACATTATTATTTATTTTTTATAATTTAGAATATTAATTATGTAGTCAATGTTTTGATAATTTGATTTGTATTTATTATTTAAAATATGAGAAATGTATGTATGAAATTTTTTGAAATTGCTTTAGTTTATTATTTATAATGTAATTTGATTTTGAAAAAACTAAATATTTCTATTAAAAAAATTAATTTTATTAAATGGATGGTTTTGATGCAGAGATACCTGAATCCAATCCAAATCCATTTGGGACGGGTTTGAATTTTAATTTTCCATTCTCGTTTGAATTTTGGGGGGAACGGAAATTATTTGGGGATTCAGATTTGAATTTAGGTTTGAAAGAGGTAAAAATTGTTCCTGACCCGCTCTGTTGCTATGCCAAATTTGGAGATGCACCTCCTAATACCTCTTCAAAATATTTTCAAATTTTTAGAGGTGTGTTCCATAGTACAAGGGTGCAATTGTCAAAAATAAATTAGCAGTGTTTATCATATATCTCTACTTGCCATACTTTTCATTAAATCCATGATCTTCTGTTATGATTAATGGAATAATTACCTTGAACTTGTTTCAGAAAAAGAGAAAAAAAAGACGTAGCCAAACTAGCTTTTCCTTAAACCCTGTTAAAAACTCTCCTGTAGGTCAAACCACTGATTCTGACAAGCATAATTCTAAGAACAGTTTATCAAAAGAAATAGATAATCCGAATATTGCTACATGAGTTTTCATAAGAATAACTGATAACAGGAAAGAAAACAATAAATGTTTTTCTGGGATAAGATTATTGAACTATGCCGCTCTATAATAATGGAAAAAATCAGCTGCAAGATAAGCAGTTCCTGTAACTTGTCAGTCTAGCACTCCTTGCTAATTAGAAGTGCTTTAGATATGCAACAATACAATTTATAATCTACTTAACTATAATAATACAAACTCTTGCTGTCCACAGAAAGCCGATCCAACTTCATTTACCTAACACTGGTGTGTGCCTTTGAACACCAATAAATTATGCATGAATCTTTCAAATCCACCATTATAACAAATTGATGTGCCCTGCTGCAAAACCCAACAATAAGGAGTGTGATACTCGTGCTGAAGAGACCTTATAATCGGCCATGTATCACTAAACTTCAAATTGATATAAAATACATGCTCTATTAACATTATGCCATGCATCTCTTCCCGTCTCTTGAAGAGAAAACAAGATGATTTTCATTAATTTTATACTCCCAATTTGATAGCTGCGTCAATTGAATCAATAGAGTTATTTTGTTGTCCCCAAAGCTGTGCATATCTTCCTGCATTTTCTAAGAGCATTTCATGTGGCCCATGCTCAACCACCTTTCCATTTTCCAAAACAATAATCTGAACGTTGCCAAAAGAAATATTTTAATATAAGTTATGTAATGGCAAAAAAGGAATATATAGGATGGATATCTGAACTAAAGATGATTTATCATAAATCTACTGTTATGATGAGATCTACTTTTTTATTGTGTTTTGCCTTTCGATGAAGATGTGTCCAACATATAGATTGCTAATCAAATTAGATCAATAAAATGCATTCTGGAATAATTTGTGCAAACTTTACATAAAATACGTAATATATATGATAAATTTTGTGGATAACAGAAACACATTCTTATATAGTTTACAAAATTCAGAACTGTTCAAGGATGTTAATCTAAATAGAGAGGGCTTACCTCATCACACTGCATTGCAGTGGTGAGCCTGTGTGCAATGAATATGGAAGTTCGATTCTTTGATACTGACTTCAATGCACTTAAAATCTCTGCTTCTGTTGTGCTGTCAAGAGCACTTGTAGCTTCATCACACAACCTACAAGCAAAATACGGAAATTAAAATAAATTGGACTAATATAAAAAGTGAGTGTATGTATGGGTATCCAGTTTAAAAAATGTTTCAACTATCAGAACTGTAACACTTGTAATCTAAAATATCTAAAATAGGAAAGCACCACTCAAGTTTTAATAGAAATTACTGTACAACTATAAGACTTGCAATGTTGCATGAAATTTAACATTGAGTACAAAAAAATAAACAGAATATATAGCGATAAAACATTGGATGAGTGGCAAGACAAGACAAGGATTATAAATTCAATCATTAGAGACATTGTTGGGCTAGCACCCACTATAGAAAAGATGATAGGGCCTCGTCATAGGTTGTTTTGGGCATGTGTTGATAGAAGCCTGGCTAGAAGGAAGATAAAAAGTTAGGATACTCACAGTATTGCAGGTGCTTTTAAGAAAGCTCGAGCAAGAGCAACACGCTGCTTCTCACCGCCACTTAGCTGTAAAAAAGCCATAGTCAGTGAAAAATTGAGATTGTCATCGTAAAATTTTATTTGCATCAGGGAGAGGACTCAATAATGTGAAGTTTGTGTTCCTTTCTTTCCCCGCAAGCATGTCGATAGGGACTCGGGTGTCAAGGGGTGCCCACCTCCTGCATCGAGTAGTATAGAATACTCGGTGTAGTATTTAAGTGACTTAGCTCTTCTCCATTGGCAGCCAAATTTTAAAAGATGATTCTTCAAAGTGCTTGTCCACATCAAGTCACAACTATTGCAAACTACAATCATCACACCAAAGCCATGCCAAAGAGATTGCATCTTTTATATTGGTTTTATATTATTTTGCCATGTGATCGTGTCTGACAATGGATTTTCTTTTATATGCATCTATATTATGGGTGACTCTTCCAATGATTTGAGATTTGCAATAACATAACCATATGTATCCTAAATAAAATATCATAAAAGTACAATACTGAAAAACATTATCCAGAATAAAGAGGTTTCAACACCTTGAGCCCTCGCTCTCCCACAACAGTGGAGTATTTCTCAGGAAAATTCATGATAGTATCATGGATTGCTGCTTGACGGGAAGCTTCATAGACCTATCATGTAAGCATACAGTAATAGGCTAAGAACAAGTTGGAACCTAACAAAGGAAATTTGTAAAGTGGAGCAGCAATTAAAGGTATAGCACGACAAAAGTTACCTCCTCTTCTGTTGCTGAAAGCCGACCATAGTGAATGTTATGAAATATAGTATCATTGAAAAGTACCTGCACATAATCACTCAGGTTTCACAGTTTGCAAGATCTATTAAGGAAAACAATATGTGATTCAAGAGATAGATGTTTTGTTAACTTACAGTATCTTGTGGAACAACGCCAATAGACTTTCGTAAACTCTCAAGGGTTATATCCCGAATATCTTGATCATCTATCTTTATCTGTAAAGTACAAGTTGTGAATGGAATGGGAGAGAAGCAAGTCCACCTTATATATAAAAGACGACAACCAAGCTTTCCATGTATGACGTATCAAACCATGGCATTGGACTCTAGTATAAGCCCTAATGATATAAGACACTCTACTTGCAAAAAATAACTTGTGATCTTTAGAGCCATATAGCACAGATGTATATAAATCTAGTGTCTATCAATCCAAATAGGACAGTAAACATTAAATGTTATAAATAGCATGGCAATATAGCTTAAATCCAATAAAAAGTAGATTCATCTCTTACACTTCCAGAATGGGGATCAAAAAATCTGAATAGCATTCTGAGAATGGTTGATTTTCCTGTCAAACGAATGAATGTGAAACATGTAAAAAAAACACATTTCTAACATAGACTATTCACAGGCCAGAAAATAAAACACAACCATATCAAAAATTTGAATACCAATGCATTTCATGTTTTAGAAGTCAGTATAACTGTATAACACACAAGATCTGATGGAAATTAAACATCAATACAAAAGGGTGATTCATGGATGGGTTGTCAAGCATGGTCTTCCATCAGATACCTTGTCAGCGCCTTAGAGGCCACAATGGCAATGTCCATTATCATTGACTAGGATAATGGAAATAGAATATCAGCATTGACACATATAACTAAAACTAGATGAATAAGCCCACAATTGACTAGGATCAGCTGTTAGTGGTGATCTGAACTGGTTTTTGAAGAAAATGGATGACAAATTCGATGGATGTGCCCCCAAAAGTCATGCTGAAGGCCGCTTATGGGTGGTGTAATGAACCTGAAACTTTGTTGTCTAGCAGATATGTGCCTTCCATTCCAATGGCAGTAGGTATGTGCATGGGGTGGTTACCATATTTTAGGTTTGGTTTTTTAAAACCATTTAGGTTAAATCAGATTATTTTTGACGAAATAGTTTTAGGTCTGGTTTATGAAGATATGGTCTTAACATGAGTTTATAAGTGGTTGTAATCCTCGTCTTACAAGCCTATTTTGTAAGGGTTGAGTTAGGCTCAACCACAATTCTAAGACTCCGGATCATAAAAGGGAGATCAATCTCGAAGAATCTTATTATTGGGAAAGGAAGGATCATAGATTCATTTGCCCAGTTTTGTTGCAAGTGGCCCATCAGATTGGATGATAGTACCACAAGAAGCCAGACCAGAGCCAGGTTGGTGATGGGACCAGGTGGTGGAAAATGAAGAAACATAGCCGGGATCATAGAAAGGTGTCTTACACAAGTGGACTGAATGCTAAAGATACTAAATTCTGGAAACAAAAATTGTACCACTATTTGAAAAAATTAAACAGAGAACTGGAAACTATAGCAGTGTAAATATATAAGCCATCTAACTGAAGGTTGTGTAAATTTACAAATAATTTTATGGAAGGAAGTGCTATGTATTTTAATTCTGAACAGATGTGACTCGGTGTTAGAAAATAAATAAAAAAAGGAAGGAAAACTTGAGGATCTAACTCAATGAACAATAAGCTTTTCAATCTAGGCGATACAAACACCAGAAGAAGCTCATCAGCAGCCAGATGGTTGATAGACTCTAGCCAAATGTTCAGTAACTGCTACCTAAGTGGCCATCAAGTGCTATTGTAGTACCAATCATTGGTTACAATTGGGAGAGACAAACAACAGCACAGAAGTAGCTATCACCCCAGCCACTGATAATTATACGACCCCTTCACAATTTTCACATATATTAAGAAAACTAGGTAGTGTATTATTATGTCTATTTTGTGTACAAATGCTCCTAAAATAGCATCTTCCAAGATACTTAGTGGTAGTAATTAGGGGTATATTTAGAAAATTAATAAATGTATCTACTAATTTGAAATGGGACTTATGTTTAGAGACAATTTTTGCCATAAGGTGCTTATAATTAGGGACCGGGCAGTAAGTACCCTGGAGAAAATCATTTTGATATATTGCTAAATGGGTAAACATATATCCATGGAACAATTTTTCTTTCTGACCATAGGCAGAAGAAAAATGTTTCTAACAGCTTTGCACATAAAATCATTTAAGAATATAAATAATCTCATCATGGTGAAGCTTACCACTTCCACTAGTCCCAACAATTGCAACACTTTTACCAGCTGGTACAAGTAATGATATCCCATCTAGTATCTTTCTTTCTGTGAGGTAACTGAAGCATGAATCAATATATAATTACAAATATTAGTCAAAACAGGAAAGTTGTATTTGATCAGCATGTTAGCTTTTTAATACAGCAAATGATATTTTTGCAAATTCAAATTTCCATGCCTTCCATTCTGCAACTAATTAGCAAGCAAGATTCAACTAACATTACTTCTTATTAATATTCATGCAATATTTAGGTATGTATTTTGGAAATTTTGTGGTAAGTTTTTCTATCTGTACAGATTTGTGTAATTCAGGAAAACCCCATGAATCAATGGATCTTCAATTAGATTTAGAGCAGAGATTTCTTACAGATATAAACCATAAAGGTGACACTAGTTTATCTTTTACTTTCAGAGAAAGAGTATAAAAATAGATTAGTCTATTCTTTTCAAAAAAATATTAAACTAGTTTATTTTAAAGAAATGAACCGAACATTGAAAACGCATAAGTGTGTAAGTGTTTGTAACAGGCATTTTTCTTAGACTTATTCTTAGTTCTAGAAAGGGAAAAAATGAATATGCAAGTATTTTGAAAGTCCCATCTAGTTTTACATGATTATTGTCATTCTACTAATGCAGAGTGGAATATTTGGAACTCTGCTGGAATTCACATTGGAATAAGTTACAGCTGGAATTTGTTTCAAATAGCACTGTTAACATAAAATGTTCCTCTTCCTTACTATTATAATTCCTTGGTGAATGTATAACTATTGTATGATGTGTAATAAACGCAAGTGATTCTCAAAACACACTCCAGAGTGCAAAACACAATCCAGAACGTTTTGTTTAAGAGAATTTGTGTTTGAACTAAACACCAGCGAATATTAAATATAGAGTATATGAATAAAAATACAAGTGTTACAGTTACCCTATAAGTCCGTAATTACATAAACTCAATTAATAACTATCATATTCATGTTAATTCCTACTGAAAATATGGGGTTTTAGATATAGACAGAAGAAAAAATATAAACATTTTTTAATCAAGAAATTGGTTTTATACAACTGTGGAATAAAAAATTTGTGTATTTTTATCTTTTTAAGTATTGTTAAACATTGGAACAAGAAGTTGTCTCAGTTTGTTTGAGTAACAAAAATTTAAGAGTTTTGTACTGTATCTCATTAATAGATTTACATATTTGAACTGTCCCATAACTACTTTAAAAATTAAAAATGAACCGGATGTGTTAGCTAAAAGTCAATTAAAGGAATAGTAGCATTATTATGGAGTAAAGGGACAATCACGCACCCAAAATGTACATTCTCAAATTGAACCTTCCCCCCAGTAAGTTTGAGAGGCTTGGCATTTTCTTTGTCCTTAATGTCTGCTCTTTCCTGTAATTATATTAAGAAAAACATGTAATATCTCAAAGTCATGCAAGAAAAGAAGATTTCAGTAAACATAGTCACATACACAGCATGTATTCGAACTTCGGATAAATGAAGCCACAATTTATGAGGGAAATCACAATTCGACACTGATCAGATTGCCATCTATATTAGGAAACATTATATACTTTGTAAAAGATCCATTCGTAGAACTGACACCTTTGATAACTGATTCCAGCCTAGGAAACCTTAAATGTCATGGGATCCAAAATGAGTGTGTTTCTTTTTCTACCTAGGCTTACTTTGTATAATTCTAACCTAGGTGTGCATCAGAAATAACTGAATAATATTCTTATATTCTTTAATTTCTAAGAATTTGCAATATGAACATAGTTACAGAGAATGTGTTTCTTATGCAAGTATTCCGATAAGTTCACTAGAATGTTGAAATTTCATCACTAGTAGAAAGAACTAAACCAACTAATTTATTTAATATGTAAGCAGAAAAAAATACCAACTCAAGAAATAATTCAACGAAGGTATTCTTCTTATTTATAAAAGGGGAGTTTTCAAATAACAGACATGGGAAGTTGTACTAACAATCAATCTAGAAATATCTACAGATTTACTTGATAAAGGATATGAATTATGACTTGATGTCTTTCTCCTTTATTATTTCTCTCTATAAATAATGATTACAACATATACAAGTAGTTACCGCTAACAATTACAATTTATGGGAAACAAAACATTTTCTAATTTGTCTAACCTATTCTAGGAAAGTTGATGAATACAATTAATATTATTTCCTGATTCACACGTATCTGCTCTGTTTTTGTTCATTTTCCAGTTTTCCTCCTCTGCTCCTCTTATTCTTCCTCTCCTTTGCTATGTTTCCCCTGCTCTGATTTCCTCTCAAACCCTATCTGTTTTGATATTTTCCTCGTCTGTTATGTTATTACTTTCCCCTCTTCGTGTTTGATACTTTTTTCATCTGTTCTGATATAATTTTCCCCTCTCTCTTTTCTGATTTTCTTTCCCGTGTTTAGATATCGTTTCCCATCAGATCCTGATCTGAACTTGCTTCAAAGATTTCATGAATTTTCAGTTATTTGTTTAACTTTAATTAACTGGGTCTTCGTAGTATTACTAATGTAATCTGTCCAAGAAATACCAAATAGTGGACATCCTGCTGTCCCACATTCGGGGTCGGTTGCTCAGCACCGCTTTCTGGAATTGACTACTTAGTATTCAGACAATTAAGTCACTTCATTCTTGTTTTTATGTAGGTATGTTGTGTACCAAGAAGAACTCCTCGGACGGAAGCTCGGATATTAGCATTAGGAGGAAACTGGTATTTTATTACAAAGAATAAGGGAATTCTACATGAACACAACAACGTAGAACTTCGAGAGTATGCAGTTCCCTATGGCCCAAGGGCACAATTCTTTCCAAAATGATGATATCACTCCCTCCATTCCCTTCTCTTATGAAACTTATTTCAACCTAGCCCTCCAACTAACCCAGTCTAATTATTTTCAATTGAGTAACTAACTGGGTGGAACTACCTAACACTTACATATCATAATATATGTATACCGTGTTCACACACACAAGTCATCAGGTGAAACAAAGAAACTTCATAATCAAAAATACACATTTAGAATTCAAGAGGAAGATAACTTTTTTAAGGTTTAATGAGGAATATACCTCAAGTAATTGGAACATGGATTTCATGTCAATTAGACTCTGTATAGTTTCGCGATAAACACTACCAAGGAAATTGAGGGGAAGAGACAGTTGGAAGAGAAGCCCATTTACCATCACCTGTATATTGAGTTAGATTATTATCCAGGTCATGATTAACTATTAAATATGGACAGAACTTTTACATTTTACTTTATTGTATATAAATAAAACAATCAATACGTTAAATCAAAGAGAAGCCAATTACAAAGATACTGCAGGATAAGTGAGTGATCTTCAATATAAAAGAAAAACATGTGCATTAAAGAACTAATAAAATCATCAGTGAAGAAAAGCTACCCTCAACATAAAATTTAATTTGATGAAACATTACCAAATCACCAACAGTCATTGAGCCATTCATGATCCCCTGAGAACACAGAACCATTGCTGTTGAAAGAGCAGCACTAAATATAGCATTTTGACCAAAGTTCAACAAAGCAAGACTGTGTTGGGTTTTCAGAGCAGCATCCTCATACCCTGAACAATAAGATCACAAATCACAGCAGCACAAGCACATAAATCAGACATCAGAACTAAGAAAGCATTCAAAAGTGAAATGACAGAAGAAGCTACAATCGTTTTTGTTTTGTAAATAACAAACCAAATCATACAAAATCTACAGACACTGGTATCTAGTTATTCTTTGACAGCAAGATATTTCCATTCCTTCTTAGGCTATAGGTCTAACTCTACTCCACAAAATCGGCTTGTAAGGAGAATTGTCTGATAGCTTTATAATCTCTATTTAGGTTGTACCTAGGGTTGGAAATGAGTCGAGTCGAGTCGAACTCGCCTCAGCTCAGTTCGACTCGTTAAGAATTAGCCGAGTTCGAGTTCATCACAAACTTTTTTTTCAGCTCAAACTCGACTCGTTAAGAATTGGCCGAGTTCGAGTTCATCACGAACTTTTTAAAGTCTATTTTTTTATATATATATTTGACATTTTAAATTAATATTTTTTAAAACTTATCTAAATAGTTAACTTTGATGAATAATAGTTAACTTTGATGAATAATATGACAATTAAAACAATCTTATTTATCCTTGTATTCACAAGAATTATAGACAATATTTCTAGTTTTCATATAATATAAGTTTCATCTCAAAATAATATTTGTAATTCAAGATATTATCATCAAAAGTAGGTAATATGAGCAAATAATGAAATGTTATAACTTAAGTTTGTAACATATATTTTACTATGTTGAATTTGGAGTTTTTTTAATCAATAGAATTGTAAATTATTTTATCATCTTTCAAATGATATAAATAAATATGAAAACTAAGTATTGATGTCTTCATGAAACTTATATATCGACTCAGTTAATGAACCAAACGAATCGAACTATACATAGCTCAAGTTCAACTCATTTATTTTACAAACTTAATTTTGAGCTCCAGTTCGACTCATTTGGTTCATGAACCAAATCCAACAAATTAATTACCGAATCGAATCCCAAACTATTTTCGAGCTGGTTCGGTTCATTGCCGGCCCTAGTTGTACCTCAAGCCAATGTAGGACTTGGATTTTGTCCAATAAACCAACTCATGCCCAAGCTTATAGGGCTCGGTGTGTGAATAATATGGGTGATCCACAAATAACGAATACTTCCTTTGGAATGAAATATAAGCAAAAAGGGTATTTGAAAAGTTTATGTATCTGATCTTAATTTTGAACCAGATACATCAACTTTTCATATATCACTTTTGCTTATATTTCATTTCCCGGAGGGAGTATAAAATAGGCTTCCGTAGCATCCTAAGCTTTAGGTTTAGTAAGCCCACAAAACCATCTTGTAAAGTTAAGATTTCCAAATTTATAAGCCGTATTAAGGTCATACATCAAGTCAGTGTGTGGATTGGGTTTATTCCAAAATGAAGGAAGTTGCTCAAGAACTCAAAGTCTTAAACTCTGTTTGACCAAAACACCGATTACTTACTCTTTAGGTACTTGTCATAATGATCAGTTTCATGAGCTTCATTATTGAAATATTTGACCGTCTGTAAAACAATAAAAAGAAAGAAGAAAAATAAATAAATCCCATAGTGATAGTCAAATTAAAGATAATAAACAGCATAAATAAATGAACACATTGGTATTAGTGAATGAAATGCTGACCTCATAGTTAATAAGTGAATCAATAACCCTAGTACTAGCATCATTATCAGCCTTATTCATGGCTTTCCTGAATTTAGTCCTCCACTGAAAAGATAAAAGGAAATATAAGAGTAAAGAACTTTTCAAAAATCCATTTTTCCTACCAGTGCAGCTGCCCAATAACAAACATACTAAGAACTGAAAATACAAAAAGTGAAATGAGAGTCTAGATCTGCTCCATTTGCTAAACTGTCCGGTTATCCGGTTCCAATCACAGATATTTGACACGTGGTGATTACAACTTTTAACGGTCCAGATTAAAGTGAATATTTATATTTTTAAAATAAAATAAAAAACCTCAGTACGTTGTTCCACCGCTTGAAGCATTGATAGTGGTTTAAACTCAGAAAAATGGTTCAACAATTGCAATGACACTTTAGCATATCAACAAAACTTTTACTTTCTTTTGTTTAGTGAAAGGCCGCACATTTCTTCACTTTCTCTTTTCAATCCACAAATTTCAATCGACGCCACTTTGAATTGAATCAAATGCATACTTTGAATTTAAAATTAAAACAGAAAAAGGGAAACAATTTTGAATCTGAAAGGTTATGTTTCAATCAACATATTCTGAGAAAAATCTGTGGGAAGAGGGATGTTTCCATGAACATTGAGACGCCAGATTTCATTTCAAATGTTAAATTTACAAATAGAAAAAGGGGGAAATTGGAAATAATTTCATTATAGTTGTCGTATTACATTATAAAATAGTTATAATCTCTAATACATATATTGAATTACGGAGCTGGAAAAAAAGGGTTGAAAATATAAAGAACAATCTGAAGAATAAAGGTAGAAAGGTGAGGGCATAGTGAGCACTTTAAGATATGAATTCACGCTAAGAAGAAGAAGGAGGTCTGAGTTAACCAAGATGCTTGTGTTTCTCTTTTTAATTTGTTTTTTTTAATATTAGTTTTCAAACTTTGAATCTGAACCGTTAAAAATTATCGACTCCACGTGTCAAATATCTGTGATTGAAACCGGATAACCGGACAGTTTAGCAAATGGAGCAGATCTGGACTCGTGAAATGAAGTACAAAAGGTTCCACAATGCCAGTAATGTATGAGAAGACAAATGAAAATAGAAGAATACCAAACTATCCCAACCTAAGCATATTTCATGTTTACCTGGGTGATAGAAAGTGTGAAAACAACATAAGCGGCAACTGACAGTGAAGTAATCCATGCAAAAGGTGCTCCAAATTTGTAGGCCAGTATACCTGATACCATAGATATCTGGATGGATATGTGTTAAATCTGTTGAAGTTGTTCAAGAAGAAAGAAGCAAGAGTTGGGATGATAAAAAAAAGTTGAAAATTCGTTATTGAAAATGATAGACAGAAACATAGACACCAGGAAGTCAAAGCGGAAGATACAATTCCCATAAAATATCTTCTGTGGTCCTAAATTATCTAGTCTGCGTAGGGAAAACATGACTCACCTAAGCAACAAGAATAAAAACTGAGGCATACCTCTAATACGGTGGGTACTACATTGAACACCATAGCGGAGAGAATGAAATTTATTGCACGGCTACCACGATCAATTATTCGACTTAATGCACCAGTTTCTCGACTGGAAAAGAAAAACTAAGCTTGTGAGAGGCATACACAATGAAACAGTAGACAACAAGCCCACAAGGCAGAAGAGAAGCATAAGTAGAGGTGAATTAGCCACAGGACAGAGAAGTCTCTTCTCTCATATATTATCCTTCCTTTCAGTATTTCATTACATGCTCTTTGCCTGTTAGTTGTTACTTGTGTAATCAAACCTGGACTTTCTGGGTTTTCTCAATCATTTGTTCACACACACACACACATATATGTATGTAATAATAGAGACTGATTAGCCATTTCTGCATGGCAGAAACCATACCTTAGATGATATCGAAGGTCAAGGTCGTGCAAATGTGAAAAAACCTGCAACAGTCAGATACTAACATAAATTGAATACCTTGATATTATCATACAACCAATTATTCTGTGATTTTGCGAAGAAGAAAAAGAGGTGTAATACAGATAGAACTAATTGGTATATTTTACTGAAAATGGGGAAGAATCCGCTTTGATTACAACAATGGCGGCACTTCAAAGGTCTGCCTACCTCCCAATGCCATAAGGCTCTATTCCTCTCAAATTAGAAGATGCTGCCATCTCTAATCCTCCTATCTATTTATAGGCAGCATGCCGTATTTATTTGGCCTAACTACCTCTAAACAAAGCTACTAACAAACTAACCAACTAATTAACTAACAAATAACAACTTCTTAACTAACAATAGGAGACCTAACAGATATACACCGGAAGTTTTCATATAATAAACGAAAAAAACTAATTTACTGAAAATTCTTTTACTTCTCAGATGAACCAAACTCATGAAAGTAGCATACCTTTCTTGAAACTAATCGAATTGTTCGCAGTGCTACCTTGGAAAACAAAGCAGTCCGCAGTTCTGCAAAAATTAGTTGTATCATTTAAATATAAATCAACAGAATGTATCTTGAAAAACCAAGGCTCTTCTCAAAGAAACATAGCTAAAAGTAACTACATCAATATTGTAATGCCAATATCGAATCGAGAAGAATCGCATCTACCATGTTAGCTCATGAGCTATTTGAGGCTTTGCTTGCTACAGCTCCATAAGTTAGACTAATTAGTTAGGTTTAAGCAAAAAGTTTATGCTCGTTTAGTTTTCAGATGTTGGTGTGCATGTGTATGCATGTATGTGTGTGTAGTGATAGGACAATTTTTATGAGATTGAGCAAAGTGAATTTTGACCATTAGATCTAACCATGAATGATCACCATTCATGTATAATTGGTTAAATGGTCAAAATTCAACCATTCATGTATAATTTTATGTGTGTGTCGTGGATGGTCCAGATTAACATTAACCCTTATTACCTATAAGATATTGAATACACTTCAAGTCTTTCCCAAAGTAGCATATTATATGCCAATTTGTATAAACATCTTCACAAGCACTTGGAAAAAAAAGAAATAATCGAAGAATCTTACAAAGTAAAAACTTAAAATTTATTTCAATTGAGACGTTCTCATAGACATAAGCTAGAAGCTATTCCAAACCAAACTAAATCGTAATATACTTTTGTTAAGTAACACTAACTAATTATAGGATGTACAGTGGCAAAACAAACTTAAGAAAAAATAAACTATTGAACTTTATGCTACAAGATAAAATGTTATTGAGCTCACAGCGAGTTGAGTTTTAACCAACAAAATGAGTTCATTTCTCATTGAGCTTGAGCCAAGGGAGTTATTATTGAGCCACCTGAGCCAAGCCAAGAACAACTCATCTCATTAACAACCTCATCTCATTGACAACCGTACTAGCGGCAGCACTGAAGACGGATAAGCTTGCAAAAGCCCGTTTAGATCACAAGCAATGGTTTGGACAGGTGCCTAAAAATGGGAAACCTTCTGACATGTTTATTAGTAGCTATTTTAGCTATTTTTGTAATACTTTATTCTCTTTTGGGAAGATCAAACCTTGGGTAACTATTGGGTTTGACTATGCTCTCAAAGAGTTTGAACTTGAAGTCACACTATCAAGTTTCCATGATTCTTAATTAGTTGGGAAGCTTGGGTTCCTATCAGATGAGAACTTCATTAGCCAAGCTCATGGGCTCAATCATTGAAGATCTATCTGAACCATGGTAAATATTTATTGCAAATTTAATGTTTAGTTTTCTGAGAATTTGGCATATTTTGAGATTTTCTTTTTCCTACAATTTGTGTCACTAATATTATGAGCATGTCTGTTTTAAGGGTGTTGTGGATGTCGCGGCACAACTGCACTCCTATTTCGGCTATTTCCTTTGCTTTGTTTTCATAATTCATTTCAGCTCTTAAATGTATACTTTATCCCAGCTCTTGCTACTAGTTGGCTGATTTCTATTTCTCATATTTCTTTTTAAAAAAAGCTTGTTTTTCCAAACATAATGCAAATTTAAATCCTTAACATGAATAAAGGTCCAAATCCATGGAGTATAAAATGTAACTTCAACATGTGTTTTCAAAAGCTTAGTCATTAAAATTTAGAATTTTAATGACTTCCAAGTCTATACCAATAGGTAAATCCAGCTTTAATAGGCAAACAAACAAAACAAGTATATCAATCATTTCATTTACAAATACCGTTGAAGGCAGAAGCTCCAGAACGTGCAATCCCGTATCCAATCAATACTGCCACGGGAGTAGCAAAAAGCGCCATCACAGTAGGATTCGAAGCAACAGCGCCAGCATTGCCCGTGGCAGTATTCAACCAATCAACTGCAAGCTTGAATAAGAAAGGGACCTGAACATTCACAACCTGAAAGATAAAATAGTAGCATAAACCACACAAATGAGTGACTTAGCAGCATAGATCAATTACCAACAACAATAATCATTTATCGTCATCACTATGTTAAGTAGCTGACCACAACACAGTGAATAAGAAGGTGTCAGCAAGAGCTAATTAGAGCTGAACTTAAAATGGCATTAGTACTTGTGTAATTTTTCATTAGAGCTTATAAAAGTAGCTTATGTTATGATATGTGCTCATAAGAAATTTTCAATTGATTTAGAGTGAATACCCAATTCGTACCCTTAAATTATAGACTCTCAATTTAGTCCTCACATTATCAATATTCCAAAATGATCTCTAAACTTGTTAATCAGGTTCACTCTGATATTGGATATGCTATCAAATACATCTCTAACATTATTCATTTAGGCTCTTTTTGCGAATTAGCAGGGGAGGGGAAGGGAGGTCTTTAGGGGGGAGTCAAGGGAAAAATATTGAAATCTTCCACATTGTCTAAGAGAGTGTTTTTGAAGAGAACGATAAAAGAATATTTATTATTAATATATTTTTAAGTTAGAGAGTATTATAACCACACATATTAAATTTGAAGAATTTATCCAAACCCTACAAAATCCTCCTTCAGTACAATTTTTAGTTTCCCCATTTTGGAGGATTCTGTATTATGAAGAAAAACTAACCATCTATTCAAGTTGGGTGATTATAATTTCATTCATTTCCCTTTACTCCTTCCTTTTATCAAAAGCCCTCATTTTCTTTTCCCTTTACCCAAAACCCTACTCTTTCTTTCCCTGCGAACTTGCAAATAGAGTCTTAGTTTCAAATGCATCTCCGACATTACCAACATAATATCATTATAGTCCCCGCAAATATCAATAGATGGACGAATTTGACTAGTATTTTGGCATTTCAAGGATAGGTTTGTGATATTGCTAATAAAGAGGACTAAGTTGGTAAGGTCCTACAATTTCAAAGATCAAATCAGCCATTTACAAATTTATTTATTTTCATAATTTCCCATAACAATTTATAAAACTTTTTACAAAGCACAGCATAGTTTCTCTCATTCACAACTTGTACATAAGCAATTTATCTATTTGCCAAATGACACTAAGTAAGTAACCATATAAATCTAACCTTAGCTCCAACAAGTAAAAACAATGCGGCAACAACCCGAAACCGAAACTCAAGATTATCTTTCATCCAAAGGTAACTCGCAAGCACCCGAAGGATCTTGATATCGGCAACTTGTCCACCAGGTGGAGGCAATTTAGCAACAGTAGAATTCTTTTGGTTCTGACTTCCATCATCAGTTTTAGCTGAAGTAGAGAACAGCGCTCTTCCATCCACCTTCGAATTCTGTTCAACGCAATCACAGTAAAAAAAATCAAAACCGTCAAAAAAAAAATGAAATAAGAAAAGTTGAGTCAGGCATTTGAACAAACAGGTTGTAGTATAAAGGGGTTAGTTACTCTGCCGTATGATGAAGATGATGATGAATCAGAGAGAAATCCTTTCACAGAGAAAAGTAAGGTTGGACATGTTCGGGTGGTGCGGTTATTGAAACTGATTCCGTTACTGTAACCGTAACAGTGACATGTTGTGGTGGGAATTGAGTAAGTTGTGGTGATGGCGGAAAAAGATAGAAGTGATCGTACACGATTGCCGCCGCCGGTGGTGGGTCTGGCGTACCTCGAGGCGGCAGCGAGCATTTTTCGGAGTGAGTATGGAAGAAGCTTCTCGAAGAGAAGAGAAGAAGAAGAAGAGGAGAAGGAGAGAGTAATAAAACGCAGAAAATGCTATTGTCCCCTTTTCCCCTTTCTTTCAGTCAAGTTCATTCATTTTGCAGGTTTTACATGTTAATTTATTTTTTAATTTCTTTAAATCAAATGAAGTCAGTGCAAGTTCATCTCATCCCCTTGTTAGCACAACAAGACTGGATACATTCCGATCGATTTTCTTTGAAAGAAAACTTACCAAATTTTATGATTAATAAGGCTCATTAGATTGAGTTGGTAATAATATCAAGTCTATTATAAATCTATAAAAATGATAGTCGCTGGAAATTACCACAACACCACAGTTGAAAAAATTCATTGTTGGTCTATTGTATTTGGGGTAAAATTGGAAACTCTAAAATATCTTGCACCACATTGATTTGAATCTGATGTGGCACTCCCACAATTTTTCACCACATTTTCAATTTTTTTTTTCAAATAAATCCCACATATTATACTGTTTTTTAAAATAAAGAACCAATTCAATTTATTGTGCAGGCAGCGTGAGAAACCCAACCATGGGGAATACCAATTCATTATTCCTTGTCATTCATTGTGCCTCTCTTCCTCTTCCCCATGCCAAACCATTATGCCTCTCTTAATCAAAATTCAAATTCAAATGGAACACCAAAAGTTTTTCACTCTTCCTTCAATCCTTCCCCAATGTGTACTTATGTATAACCTCCATTGCTTAACACCTTCCAGTCGTTTTCATTCACGCAAGCCATTGCTACAGACGTCCCTTTCGTTTTCATTCACGCAAGGCTCTCTGCGCTGTTACGAATCGCTGCGTGACGATGGCGCGCCCAATCGAGTATATCAGTAGCATTGACGATTCGAAGGATTTGTGGAAGGTTGCTGTTAGATGTAAGCATTTGTGGTCTGTTACCAGTTCTCAGAATAGAGAGCACTTAGAGCTTATTCTGTTTGATTCAAAGGTATAATACAATCTAAACGTTTCTGCTTTGCCATTCTGATTTTGTTGTAACAGTACTGGTATATGATACTGATTTCAAGATGTTTGTATTTTCACAGTTGGATTTGATTCAAGCCATTGTGCCATCTTATTTGGTATCAAAATTCAAAACACAGCTTGAACTTGGTTGTTCCTACATAATGCAGAATTTCAAAGTTTCCAGTAATGATTTCTCCTTCAAATCCACTGATCATAAGTTCAAATTGATTTTCTGTGGTTCAACTTCCGTCAAAAAGGTCCAACTTGCTGACATACCTTTGAACCACCTCAAGTTAATTGGAATAAATGCTATTATTGAGGGTAAATACAGAACGAATTTGTTATATGGTGAGTTATATTTTTACTGTTATAATAGAACGCATTATATTGTGACTTCTCCGTTATACATAACTGTCTGTGGTGAACTTTTGTGCAGATATAATTGGTGGGGTTACTGAAATATCCCAAGCCCAGATAATTCCTGATAACAACAAAAGCAAGGTTGTGTTTTCATTAACTGATCTGAGGTAGGTGTTTCATTTTGTTTGTTAACATTGATGCTGATAAATATAAAATTCTAACATGTTCATGTTGTTTGTTTTATAATTCCTGTCAATCAGCAAACATCATGTGCAATGTACTCTTTGGGGTAAATTAGTTGTGCAACTGAATGAGTATTATACGACTCATAAGGCTGATGGTAGTATTGTTCTCCTACTTATGAATGCAAGGATCAAGGAACCTCAAGGTATGCTATGTGACTATTTCTTATTATATCCAATTATTATATCCAACTTTAAGTGTTGTCATTTATAAATATCTCAATTTTCAGGAAATTATCCTTTAAATGTATCAAATGCTTGGAACGGCACAAAACTGCTCATCAATGATTTGTGTGGGATTTTGGATCGAACTCTAGTTGGTCGAAGTACTTGCTGTAGTCGAAGAAGGTTCTAGCATGTATTTGTCGAAGGATGCTTGTCGAATTAGGTTTTAGTGTTTAAACCCTAATTTGTTAAGTTAGCTTGTTTGTTAAGTTAGCTTGTATAATGGGCCTTGTGGAAAAAAGCCCATTAGTTAGTATGTTAGGTTTTATTATAAATAGCATACTAGTCTCTCATCATTGCCAACACAGCAAATCCTAATTTAGGGTGAGAGGGTTATTTGTTATTCTTGTAAACTTGTAATCTTGTTTTCTAAGAGAAAGAAAAGAATAGCAGTTATAACCAATTCTTGTGTTCTTCTTCTTCCTTGTTCTTTATTCTTCCCTTATTCTATACTTTGTTATTGGCATTGAATTCACAACAAATTGGTGCGGTGAGCGTGGAGAAGATGCCTTCAACAAAGTATGAGATCGAAAAGTTCACCGGAGTGAATGATTTCGGTCTATGGCGCTTGAAGATGAAAGCTCTACTGGTTCAGCAGGGTTGTTTGGAAGCGTTGAAGGGAGCGACGGCGATGGACGCTGCGCTAACAGAAAGAGAGAAGACGGCCATGATCGAGAAAGCACATAGCGCAATTTTGTTGAGCCTTGGTGATAAGGTTCTTCGACAGGTATCAAAGGAGACGACGGCATCAGGGTTATGGGTGAAACTTGAAAGTTTGTATATGACCAAATCTCTGGTAAATCGACTCTACCTGAAGCAAGCTTTGTATTCATTCAAGATGATTGAAGACAAAGTGTTGGCTGAGCAGTTGGATATGTTCAACAAGCTGATTCTTGATCTTGAAAATATTGATGTAAAGATTGATGATGAAGATCAAGCGCTGTTATTATTGTGCGCTTTGCCCAGATCACATGCTCACTTCAAAGAAACCCTCTTGTATGGAAGAGAGTCCCTGACCTTTGAAGAAGTTCAATCAGCTTTGTACTCTAAGGATTTGAACGAACGTAAGGAGCATAAACCTTCGACGGTTGGTGAAGGTTTGGCTGTTAAAGGAAAATTCGACAAGAAGAAAGGTAAAAATCAGTCGAAGTCTTATAGTGGTGACACATCTGGTATGAGATGCTATCACTGTAAGAAAGTAGGTCACACAAGAAAGGTGTGCCCTGAACGCCTGAAAGATCATGGAGGTAAGGATAATGGCAACGCAGCTATTGTCCAAGATGATTTCGAATCATCTGATGTTCTTGTGGTTTCAAGCAAAAACTCGTCGAAGGAATGGATTATGGATTCTGGATGCACTTGGCACATGACTCCAAACAAAGACTTGTTCGAGGAATTATGTAATCAAGATGGTGGATCTGTATTGCTGGGAAACAACAAAGCTTGCAAGATTGCAGGCGTTGGATCTGTGAGATTCAAGCTCCATGATGAGTCAATAAGATTGTTGACTGAAGTCAGGTATGTACCTGATTTGAAGAGAAATTTGATTTCTCTTGGTGAATTCGACAAGAAAGGATATGCTTTTCAAGGAGAGAAAAGTATCCTGAGAGTCATGAAAGGGTCGAAGGAAGTCTTGAGAGGCGTGAAGAAACAAGGCTTGTATACCCTTGAGGCTGAAGTTGTAAGTGGTTCGACAAATGTTGCATCCACGAAACCTTTGTCGAAGACAGAAATTTGGCACATGAGATTGGGCCATGTCAGTGAAAGGGGTCTGGTCGAATTAGGGAAACAAAATCTGCTTGGTGGAGATAAAGTCGAAAAGCTGAAGTTTTGTGAACCCTGTGTACTTGGAAAATCCTGTAGAATGAAGTTCAACAAAGGCAAACAAAGAACACATGGATCCCTTGATTACATCCATGCTGATCTTTGGGGACCTGCAAGGTGTCCATCACATTCAGGAGCAAAGTATTTTCTATCCATAGTAGATGACTATTCCAGAAAGTTATGGGTATTCATCCAGAAGACTAAGGATGAAACTTTTGAGAATTTCAAAAGTTGGAAGACTCTTGTCGAAAATCAAACTGGCAGAAAGGTAAAGAGGTTGAGAACCGACAATGGCCTTGAGTTTTGCAATGAGGCGTTCGACAGTTTTTGTGTTGCCTCTGGTATTGCAAGGCACAGAACTACCGCAGGTACTCCACAACAAAATGGTTTGGCTGAAAGGTTTAATCGAACTATTTTGGAGAGAGTTAGATGCATGTTGACTAGTGCGGGATTAAAGAAGGTGTTTTGGGCTGAGGCTGTTTCGACAGCAGCATATCTGATAAACAGATGTCCTTCGACAGCGTTAGATATGAAGACACCTGAAGAAGTTTGGTCGGGACATCCACCAGATCTCGACAAACTAAGAGTATTTGGCTGTGTAGCCTATGCTCACATTATGCAAGACAAGGTCGAACCTAGAGCTCTGAAATGCATGTTTATGGGATACCCTGAAGGAGTGAAAGCTTATAAGCTATGGTGCCTAGAGCCAGGTCACAGGAGGTGTATCACCAGTCGAGATGTAGTTTTCAATGAAACTGAAATGGCTTTCAAGAAAACTGATGATGTTGACGAAGAGCTGGAACAGGTAGAGATTCCTGTTGAGGTGGAGCATGTTGATGCTGAAATGCGTATCCCAGATGAAGTCGAAGAAGAAACAGAAGATTCTGATGATGTTGAGGAAACTGTTGATGACTACCTATTGTCGAGAGATAGGCAAAGAAGAGTCATAAAACCACCTCAGAGACTTGGATATGCAGATCTTGTAGCTTATGCCTTAATCTCTGCAAGTGAAGTTCTAGACGAAGAACCTAGAGATTATAAGGAAGTTATAAGGAGTCGAATGAAGACTGAATGGCTAAAGGCCATGCATGATGAGATGAAATCTCTCCATGATAATCACACTTGGGAACTAATCAAGAAACCTGTTGGGGCAAGGTTAGTCAGCTGTAAGTGGATTTTCAAAGTTAAGGAAGGAATTGAAGGAGTAATGTCGAAGAGGTACAAGGCAAGATTAGTCGCAAGGGGTTTCACTCAGAAAGAAGGTGTCGACTTCAATGATGTATTTTCCCCTGTTGTGAAGCACAGATCCATCCGAATGTTGCTTGCCA